ATGTGTGTGTGTATGAGTGTTTGTGTGTGTATGAGTGTATGTGTCAATGTGTGTATGAGTGTGTGTGAGTGTGTGTATGAGTGTGTGTGTGTGTATGAGTGTATGTGTCTATGTGTGTGTGTGTACATGTCAGTCGACCCGTGGCACCTGTTGGCTCTGCCCCGTGACCTCCTGCCAGCGGGCGTTCAACACTTCACGTGATAGCCTCAAGTGCACATGGCCTGGCACAGCCGCCGCGGTGACGTCACCGCCACTTAGTGGTGAATGGTTGTTGTTGTGTGTGTGGTGTGTGTGGTGTGTGTGTGGTGTGTGTGGTGTGTGTTTGTGGTGTGTGTGGTGTGTGTGTCTGTGTGGTGTGTGTGTGGTGTGTGTGTGGTGTGTGTGGTGTGTGTGTGTGTGTGGTGTGTGTGGTGTGTGTGGTGTGTGTGTGATGTGTGTGTGTGTGGTGTGTGTAGTGTGTGTGTGGTGTGTATGTCTGTGTGGTGTGTGTGTGGTGTGTGTGGTGTGTGTGGTGTGTGTGGAGTGTGTGTGTGGTGTGTGCATGTCTGTGTGGTGTGTGCGGTGTGTGTGTGGTGTGTGTGGTGTGTGTGTGTGTGTGGTGTGTGTGGTGTGTGTGTGGTGTGTGTAGTGTGTGTGTGGTGTGTGTGTCTGTGTGGTGTGTGTGTGGTGTGTGTGTGGTGTGTGTAGTGTGTGTGTGGTGTGTGTGTCTGTGTGGTGTGTGTGTGTGATGTGTGTAGTGTGTGTGTGGTGAACTTCTTTCGCTCAGCTAATCTGAGTGTATAGTAGTGTAGTGTATACTGTAGTGTAGTGTATAGCAGTGTAGTGTATAGTAGTGTAGTGTTGTGTATAGTAGCTGTATAGTCGAGTGTATAGTAGTGTAGTGTATACTGTAGTGTAGTGTATAGCAGTGTAGTGTATAGTAGTGTAGTGTGGTGTATAGTAGCTGTATAGTCGAGTGTATAGTAGTGTAGTGTATACTGTAGTGTAGTGTATAGCAGTGTAGTGTATAGTAGTGTAGTGTGGTGTATAGTAGCTGTATAGTCGAGTGTATAGTAGTGTAGTGTATACTGTAGTGTAGTGTATAGTAGTGTAGTGTATAGTGTAGTGTATAGTAGTGTAGTGTATAGTAGTGTAGTGTATAGTAGTGTAGTGTATAGTAGTGTGGTGTATAGTAGTGTTGTGTATAGTAGTGTAGTGTATAGTAGTGTGGTGTATAGTAGTGTATAGTCGAGAGTTCAGTAGTGTTGTGTATAGTAGCTGTATAGTCGAGTGTATAGTAGTGTAGTGTATACTGTAGTGTAGTGTATAGTAGTGTAGTGTATAGTAGTGTAGTGTATAGTAGTGTGGTGTATAGTAGTGTATAGTCGAGTGTTCAGTAGTGTAGTGTTTAGTAGTGTATAGTAGTGTAGTTTATAGTAGTGTAGTGTATAGTAGTGTAGTGTATAGTAGTGTGGTGTATAGTAGTGTAGTGTATAGTAGTGTGGTGTATAGTAGTGTATAGTCGAGAGTTCAGTAGTGTAGTGTATAGTAGCTGTATAGTCGAGTGTATAGTAGTGTAGTGTATACTGTAGTGTAGTGTATAGTAGTGTAGTGTATAGTGTAGTGTATAGTAGTGTAGTGTATAGTAGTGTAGTGTATAGTAGTGTTGTGTATAGTAGTGTTGTGTATAGTAGTGTAGTGTATACTCTAGTGTAGTGTATAGTAGTGTAGTGTATAGTAGTGTATAGTAGTGTAGTGTATAGTAGTGTAGTGTATAGTAGTGTAGTGTATAGTAGTGTTGTGTATAGTAGTGTAGTGTATACTCTAGTGTAGTGTATAGTAGTGTAGTGTATAGTGTAGTGTATAGTAGTGTAGTGTATAGTGTAGTGTATAGTGTAGTGTATAGTAGTGTAGTGTACAGTAGTGTAGTGTAGTGTGTAGTGTAGTGTATAGTAGTATAGTGTAGTGTATAGTAGTGTTGTGTATAGTAGTGTAGTGTATAGTAGTGTAGTGTATAGTAGTGTAGTGTATAGTGTAGTGTACAGTAGTGTAGTGTTTAGTAGTTGAACTTCTTTCGCACCGTACGTAGCCACCCATGCCTATCTCGAGTGTCTCGCAGTGTGTTGACTCCTCAGCAAGAGAAGCGGTCGGTGGGTGCCCCTCTACTCGCAATACGCCAGGCGGTGTTCACATGTCCACACACACACACGATGTGTCGCCTTTGCTAAGCACCGAGTGTGCATCAACCGCACGCTCTCTCATTCATGTTGGCGTCGTCTTTGCGACTGATTAGTCGACACCAGAGCTACAGCCTCCCTCTCGTCTCACCACCGGTGTCAGCCCGGAGAACGACGCCAACAGGCGAACAGCACAAGGACAATGCACACGAACACAATGCCTTGATAACAATAGACGCCTTGATAACAATAGACGCCTTGATAACAATAGACGCATTGATAACAATCATCTCTCTTTGTTTCTCTCTCTGTTTCTCTGTCTGTGTCTCTGTCTGTCTGTGTCTCTGTTTCTCTGTTCTGTCTCTGTGTGTTTGTCTCTCTGTCTGTGTCTCTGCCTGTGTCTCTGTGTTTCTGTCTCTCTGTCTGTGTCTCTGTCTCTCTCTCTCTCTTGCATAGTCACCACCGCTCAGCCTTGTCCACCACTGCCCCACTTAGCAGCAGCAGCAACACCCCACCCTCAGATATACACGGCAAGTCCTCGCTTAACGTACTGCAGCGTTCACTCTACAATGCGATCGCTCCTACAACGCGTTATCACTACAACACGATCGCACTACAAAGCGTGATTGCTACAACGTGGTTCACTCCGTTCGGGCACAATTTACCACGATAATCATCATCAACATCATCATCAACATCATCATCAACATCATCAACATCATCATCAGCAGCATCATCAGCAGCAGCAGCAGCCATGGTCTACTCACTGCTGGATGAAGGCCTCCCTCCATCTGGGGCCTTAACTCTCGCGATACTACGGTCAGCTGTGACGAGCGATGCTGCGGATGATGATGATACTGCTGATGATGATGCTGCTGCTGATGATGCTGCTGCTGATTATGATGATGATGATGATAATGCTGCTGATGCTGCTGGCGATGCTGCTGCTGATGATGATGCTACTGCTGATGATGATGCTACTGCTGATGATGCTGCTGCTGATGATGATGCGAATGATGCTGCGGATGATGATGCCGCTGCAGCTGATGATGCTGCTGCTGATGCTACTGCTGATGATGATTCTGCTGCTGCTGATGATGATGCTGATGATGATGCTGATGATGATGCTGCTGCTGATGATGCTGATGATGATGCTGATGATGATGCTGCTGCTGATGATGATGATGCTACTGCTGCTGATGACGAGAGTAACAGGCGCTATAAGGCTGCTACCGGCAGAAGGCAGCCCATTGTTGTACAACACTTGTATGCTCCCGCGCCCGTACGGAGTCCTCGACCTTCATCATCCACGCGCTGACCACAGTGGTGAAGTATGGTCAAAGACCCCCCCCCCCCCAGCTCCCACGATCCAGCGGTGGGCATGTGATGTTATAAAGGGGCACTTAATAAATAAATAAACACCTAAATATTCAAGCGCACCAATGTTTAACTTGCATAGTGAAGTAAATGTATTTTTTCATTTACTACACAGCCAGATAATACGCAAATCGCTAACCTTAAACACCCGGTCGTTCGTAAAAGTCGAAGGCGGTATAGTACTACAGTAATAGAGCAAGTACAGAATCACTGAACCGGAGTTGATAGCTTGAAAGCATTTAGCGCGGTGCCCTTGAAAGTGTGGGGCCCGTAGCTACTACTACACGTGTAGCTACTACATATGTAACTACTACTACATATGTAGTAGCTACTACACGTGCAGCTACTACACATGTAGCTGCTACATATGTAGCTACTACACATGTAGTAACTACTACATATGTAGCTGCTACTACACGTGTAGCTACTACACGTGTAGCTACTACACGTGTAGCTACTACATATGATGATGATGCTTTTACACAAGTAGTAGCTACATATGTAGCTTGCTACACGTATAGTAACTACTACATATGTAGCTGCTACATTGCTACTAGGATAATCCGGCACTGATGTACAAAGACAAAGATGTCCCCGTGTAGCCTTATCAGACTGTAGGGGCAATTAGCGAGTAGCACCTATGAAGGCCGGCACGGCACACGAGGGGGTGGGTGGCCAACACCACGCCCGGCCGCCTTTGTCTCCCTAGCGGCGATGGTTACTACACACCGCTCCAGATACTCATTTGAGGCTGAGTCGACCTAATGCACACACACACACACTCGTGCACGCGTGTGTGTGTGTGGGGAGCGGTAGTGTAGCGGTTAGCGCGACCCGGGATCGATTCTCGCTCAAGGCCAACACCAGCGACGATTCTATCTGAACCGGTCCTGGGCCTCCTCCCCTAGGTCGACTCAGCCTCAAAATGAGTAGCTGGTGCGGAGTGTGGTTAACATCGTCACCGGGGAGACAAAGGCGGCCGGGCCGTAGTGTTCTGCCACCCACTCCCTCGTGCGCCGTGCCGGCCTTCATAGGTGCTGCTACTCGCTAACAGCACTTGCCCCAACAGTCTGTTACAGGCTATACGGGGGATCTTTGTCTTTGTTTTTTTGTACGTGAGTGCCCGTGTGTGTACGTGTGCGTGTTCACGTGTGTGTGTGCATGTGTGTGTGTGTGCACGTGTGTGTGTGCACGTGTGTGTGCAAGTGTGTGCAAGTACGCGCGTGTGCACGTGTGCGTGTGCCCGTGTGTGCGCGTGTGTGCGTGTGTGTGTGCACGTGTGTGTGTACGTGTGTTTGTGTGTGTGCAAGTGTGTGCACGTGTGTGTGCACGTGTGTGTGCACGTGTGTGCACGTGTGTGTGTGCAAGTGTGCGCGCGTGCGTGATAAATCGAAAACTCTTTACCTGATCTGAACTTGTTCCGTATGAGGATGGACTGCTCATGTCCCAGCAGCGTCATACTTCGATATGCAGGAGCCGCAAGTCAGAGACAGGACTGGCGGTCGGTACGAAGGGCTCGCTTCAGCCAGAGAGAGAGAGACACGCGCTTCGAGATAGAGACACGCGCACGCACAACACAGACACTGCGCGCAACTCGTGTGTGCCTCTCAAGCTACTGACCGGGGGCGTTCCTCTACTCTCTCTCTAATCTCTCCACTCTCTCTCCACCCTCTCTCTCCTCTCTCTAATCTCTCTCTCCTCTCTCTCTAATCTCTCTCTCTCCTCTCTCTGACACTTTGAGTAGCGACCGAGTCGAGCGGCAGGCAGAGGCACAGGTGACTCGCTCGCTCTGCGCGAGCTGCGTGCAGAGAAGCAGCTTCGTCTGGGAGCGCCCCGCTCGTGCGACACCCTGTCAGCAGCCCTCCCCTACAGCTACACACACACAGCACACACACACAGCTCCTACCCCCCCCCCCACACACACACACAGCCCTCCCCTACAGCTACACACACACAGCACACACACACAGCTCCTACCCCTACCACACACACACACACAGCCCTCCCCTACAGCTACACACACACACAGCCCTCCCCTACAGCTACACACACACACATATACACACACAGCCCTCCCCTACAGCTACACACAACACACACATACACAGCACACACACACAGCTCCTACCACACACACACACACAGCTACACACACACAGCCCTCCCCTACAGCTACACACACACACAGCACACACAGCACACACACACAGCACACACACAGCCCTCCCCTACAGCTACACACACACAGCACACACACACAGCCCTCCCCTACAGCTACACACACACACAGCACACACACACAGCACACACACACAGCTACACACACACACATCCCTCCCCTACAGCTACACACACACACACAGCCCTCCCCTACAGCTACACACACAGACAGCACACACACACAGCCCTCCCCTACAGCTACACACACACACACAGCCCTCCCCTACAGCTACACACACAGCACACACACACACAGCACACACACAGCACACACACAGCCCTCCCCTACAGCTACACACACACAGCACACACACAGCTCCTACCCCTAACACACACACACAGCCCCTGCCACACACACACAACCACACACACACTACCCCACACAGCACACACACACAGCTCCTACCACACACACACACAGCCCCCACACACACACACTACCCCTACCCCCCACACACACACAGCTCCTACCCCCCCCACACACAGCCCACACACACTCACACTGCCCCTACCCCCCCACACACACATCCCCTACCACACACACTACCCCCCCCCACACACACACAACCCCTACCACACACACACACTACCCCACACACACACACACACTACCCCTACCACACACAAACACACTACCCTACCACACACACACACACTACCCCACACACACACTGCCCCTACACCTCCACACTCGCAAAGACAAAGATCCCCCGTATAGCCTCCACAGACTGTTGGGGCAAGTGCTGTTTGTGAGCACCTATGAAGGCCGGCACGGCACACGAGGAGGTGGGTGCCCAGCACCACTCCCGGCCGCCTTTGTCTCCCCAGTGGCGATGTTTACTAAACACCGCAACAGGTAACTAATTAAGGCTGAGTCGACCTAGGGGTGGCCCAGGACTGGTTAAGATAACCGTCCACTGGTGGTGTTGGTTCGAGAGCAGGAATCGTAGCACAGCGCGCTAACCGTTGCGCCACCGCTCACCACACTGACAACGCCTGCACAAAGACAAAGATTCCCCGTGTAGCCTTCAACAGACTGTAGGGGCAAGTGCTGTGAGCGAGTAGCACTTTTAAAGGGCGGCACGGCACACGAGGGGGTGGGTGGCCAGCACTACGCCCGGTTGCCTTTGTCTCCCCAGTGGCAATGTTTACTACACATCACACCAAGTACTAATATGAGGCTGAGTCGACCTAGAGGAGGCCCAGGACCGGTTAAGGTAATCGTCACCGGTGGTGGCCGTGAGCGGGAATCGAACGTTGGTCGCTGGGTGCGTAGCGCTAACCGCTACACTACCGCTCCCCAACAACAACAACAACCGCCATTCGTCACTAAGTGGGGGCGACGTCACCCCGACGCTTGTGCCAGGCTATGTGCACGTTGAGGCCACGTGAAGTGTCGAACGCCCGCTGGCAGGAGGTCACGGGGCAGACCCAGCAGGTGCCACGGGTCGACTGACTGAGATGAGTGGCTGATGCACCACCTGTGCCCCCTACTGTGCCAACTTGCTGTGCTTTAGCCACCTGGCGCTCCACTTGTTGTTGTGAGCGTCGCTCCTCCGCCCTCTGTTGTTGTTGGAGGGCGACTGCCTCCAACTGCCCAGTAGCGTCCTTCACGAGCCTCCTCCACAGAGGCCGATCTTGACACCGCTGGTACCAGTCATCGGCAAGACTTTGTCCAGATCTTTCAAGGATATGTGAGCTCCTCACACAATCCAGCCTGGTTAAACCCAAGATGGATCGTAGGCAGGCCAGCCTAAATGTTTATAACCGGCGAAGATGTTCCTTTTGGGGGGTCCACGTTTCGCAAGCATAGAGAAGGGAGCGAATGACTGGCCGAGAAGACCTGAAGCTTTGTGCGGAGCGACAGACCAGGTTGCTTCCACAAGGCGTTATGCAACCGATGAAAAGATATTGCCACTCGACTGATTCGGAGTGAGACCTCTGCTGTTAAACCGGAGCCGGTCATGAGCACATTGCCCAGGTATGGGAAACTCTCCAATCTCTCCACAACTGCCCTATCACCAATTGGGAGTTCTGGGGGTGGAGTGTCCGATAGTACAAATTAGTTTTGATGGGGCTGATTGTAAGTCCCCACCTCTTAGTGGTAAGCTCCAGGTTCAGCAGCAGCGCCTCCAATTCCTCCTCTGAGTGAGCAGCAATTACCAGATCATCGGCATACATAACGTGGTTGAGCAATATGGAGCCATCCCTTGACTGCACACGGGCATCGATCAGCCTCCCATTGCATCTGTACCAGATGGAAATTCCTCCGGTACAGCTATTGAAGGCTTCACGAACTACGTGGTCGAAATAGATGTTAACTAATATGAGAGCCAGAGGACATCCCTGTCGCACCCCAAAGTGAACAGGGAAAGGCTCCGACTCCCGGCCACGTAGTTTTATCCGGGCCCGCTCACCATCATGAAGGTCCTTAATGATCGTGAGCAGAGGGTCAGGGACTCCGAAAGCACGAAAAACAACCCAGAGCCCAGGCCTACTGATGGTATTATAGGCCTTGACCAGGTCAATAACGCAGAGGTATAAGCCTTGTTGGAATTCCCTACACCTTTGCTGTAGCAGACGGACAGAAAATATGGCATCTGTGCAGGACCGCCCTTTCCTGAAACCGCATTGGGGCTCTGCAAGCCTCTCCTTAGCGTGCCTGGCAAGGCGATGTTGAATAATCCTTGCCAGGACCTTTCCCGGCACACTGAGGAGTGAGATGCCCCTGTAGTTGTTACAGTCTGTGCGGTTCCCCTTCTTAAAGAGGGGGACCACCAGGGCATCCTTCCACAACCTGCGGAACCCATCAAGTGGTCCAGACTGTTGTTATGATATCAGGTAGGGCAGTCTGTACACAAACGCCACCCTCCCTTAGCATTTCGCTTGGGAGATCATCTTTGCCCGGTGCCTTTCCTGGTCTCAGGCTCTGGATCACCTTCAGTACTTCCTCAACAGATGGCACCTCAACCAGCCACTCACAGGGGGTGACTTTCTCCTCCAATATTTGAGGCACCGCAGCCTCAGCAGGATCATCCCCACTTTGTCCCACGATGTTTTCCAGGCTGAGGGATCTCCCCTAATGATGGCAATAGGAGTGGCGCTGCGGGTTACCACGGCCCATTGAGGCAGGCTCCATCTCCTCAGCAATCCGCGACCACCAACCATCTTAGCAGCGCCTCACGGCTCTCCGAACCTCCGACAAACACACGCCACACAGACACACACACACACGCCACACCACACAGACACACACACACCACACAGACACACACACACCACACAGACACACACACACCACACAGACACACACACCACAGACACACATACCACACACACACAGACACACACACAGACACACACCACACACACACACACCACACGGACACACACACACGCCACACACACACTACACAGATACACACACCACACACAGACACACAGACACCACACACACACAGACACACACACAGACACACACCACACACACACACACACCACACGGACACACACACACGCCACACACACACTACACAGATACACACACCACACACAGACACACAGACACACACACACACTCGCCACCCATCACTCCACCCTTGACAGGTTCTCTCTCTCTGTCCTCTCCACGCCTCATGCCCCTCCTCTCCTCTACCCCACGCAGCGTCTCGTCGTCATCATCATCATCGTCAGAAATGGAAGCGTCGTCATCATCAGCAACAGTTGGAGCATCATCATCATCATCTCAACCATCGTCGTCAAATTACTCAGTTGGGATCAAAGGCAAAGATCCCCCGTGTAGCCTGAACAGACTGTTGGGGCAAACGATTCTAGCGAGCGGCACCTGTGAAGGCCGGCACGGCGCCAGGTACTCATTTGAGGCTGAGTCGACCTAGGGGAGGTCCAGGGGCGGTTCAGATAATCGCTACCGCTGTTGGAACTCGGTCCGGCCGGGCTCCCCAGTCCTCAACTGGGATCGCATCAGCAGCAGCAGCAGCAGCAGCAAGGGATCACCCGCCGACTGGCTGACTGATGCCCGCTTTTGCCGCACAGAGACAGCTGACATCAGGGTCTCCCCCAGGATAAACAACAACAACAACTTCGCCTTCCGAGACGTATTCGTACAATGTGGGTGCAATATCAAAGTCGTCTTCGTCTTGTTGTTATTGTTGTTGCATTATAATATCATCAGCATCATCATCAGCAGTAGCGAGTGTTGTATGGGTGTAGTATGGGGGTCGTATGATGATCATCATCATGGAGCGGTGGCGCAGTGGTTAGCGCACCGCACTGCGTACCTAGCAAAACAGAAGTTCGATTCCCGCTCACGGCCAACATCGGTGACGATTATCTAAACCGGTCCTGGGCCTCCCCTAGGTCGACTCAGCCTCAAATGAATACCGCGGTAAACATCGCCACCGGGGAGACAAAGGCGGCCGTGGCAAGGCGTGGCCACCCGCGTTGCGGCCTTCACGCAAAGCGGAGCAGCCGCTGGCGGCAGCGGCGTGGGCCCCGGGAGGAGTCGGACGAGGGCCTCCTCGGGGCCACCGCGTGGCCATCGTGTGGCCGCGTGGCCTCGGGGCCACCGCGTGGCCTCGGGGTCACCGCGTGGCCTCGGGGGCCACCGCGTGGCCTCGGGGCCACCGCGTGGCCATCGTGTGGCCGCGTGGCCCCGAGGCCACCGCGTGGCCTTGGGGCCTCCTCGGGGCCACCGCGTGGCCGCTGTCGCCGTGCGCGGGTGCAGAGGAGAAAGCTGTGACGCTGCGTGGCTTGAGGGTGGTGGGGTGGTGGGGGGTGGTGGGGGGGTGGGGGGGGTGGGGGTGGTGGGGGGGTGGGGGGGGTGGGGTGGGGGGGGGTGGGGGGGGTGGGGGTGGTGGGGGGGGTGGGGGGGTGGGGGTGGTGGGGGGGTGGGGGTGTCCGTGGCGACACAGCCACGTGTTGCCGTTCTTCAGGATTAGAAGAATGACGCGCGAGCGTGTGGGTGTGTGTGTTTGTGGGTGGGTGGGGTGGATGCGTGGGTGTGTACGTGTGGGTGGGTGTGTGTGTGGGTGTGTGGGTGGGTGCGTGGGTGTGTGCGTGTGGGTGGGGTGGGTGGGGTGGGTGCGTGGGTGTGTGCGTGTGGGTGGGTGTGTGTGTGGGTGTGTGGGTGGGTGCGTGGGTGTGTGCGTGTGAGTGGGTGGGGTGGGTGGGGTGGGTGCGTGGGTGTGTGCGTGTGGGTGGGTGTGTGTGTGGGTGTGTGGTTGTGGGTGCGTGTGAGTGGGTGGGGTGGGTGTGTGTGGATGTGTGTGGGTGGGTGGGGTGGGTCGGGTGGGTGGGTGTGTGGGAGCGTGTTTGTGGGTGTGTGGTTGTGTGTGGGTGGGTGTGTGTGTGTGGGTGTGTGTGGGTGGGTGTGTGTGTGGGTGTGTGTGTGGGTGGGGTGGGTGCGTGGGTGTGGGTGTGTGTGGGTGTGTGGGTGTGGGTGCGTGTGAGTGGGTGCCCACGTTGCTCCGAGGGAAGCTGCGTGGCAGCGCACATTTCACCTCGCGTCGGTGCGTGACATTTTTTTTGTTTTGAGCGGAAATCGACCTCGGGTCTCAGCCGAGTTCGTAGCACAGCGCGCTAACCGTTGCGCCACCGCTCACCACACTGACATCGCCCGCACAAAGACAAAGATCCCCCGTGTAGCCTTCAACAGACCGTTGGGGCAAGTGCTGTTGGCGAGTAGCACTTTTGAAGGGCGGCACGGCACACGAGGGGGTGGGTGGGTGGCCAACACCACGCCCGGTCGCCTTTGTCTCCCCAGTGGCGATGTTTACACGTGCACACCCACGTGTACACGTGTGTGTATACGTGTACACGTGCACACGTGTGTGTATACGTGTACACGTGCACACGCACATACGCACGCGCTCACGCAGGGACACAAATACACAGGGAGGGCGTGCCAGCTGTGTCCACGCGTCAATCCCTGGCACCGCAGCCTCCCTGAGCCACGGCTGCACCTGTCCCGGGCCCGGCCACCCCGGGCCGGCCAACACGACCACCACGGCCCTGCCACGACCACGGCCACCCCGGGCCCGGCCACCAATGCCCGGCCACCACGTGGCCTCACCACAACGACCACGGCCACCACGGCCCGGCCACCACGTGGCCCGGCCACCACCACGACCACCACGGCCACCACGTGGCCCGGCCACCACCACGGCTCTGCCACCCCGGGCCCTGCCACCACCACGGCCACCACGGCCACCACGTGGCCTCACCACCACGGCCACCACGTGGCCTCACCACCACGGCAACCACGTGGCCTCACCACCACGTGGCCTCACCACCACGTGACCTCACCACCACGTGGCCTCACCACCACGCGGCGCGCCACAACAAGCGGGGAGCGCGCGCACCGCTACAAAGACAAAGATCCCCCGCGCGGACCTTGACGGGCCGATAGGGGCAAGTGCTGCGAGCGAGTAGCACCGGCGAAGTGCGGGACGGCACGCGGAGGGGCGGGGGGGGGGGTGTGGGGGGTGTGGGAGGGGGGGTGGGTGGCCGGCAACCACCCCCGGCCGCCTTTGTCTCCCCGGCGGCGATGTCTACTGGCACCGCACCGGTGCTGGTGCTGGTGGTGGCGGTGGCATCCGCCGAAAGGTCAGCGGAATGACAGAGTCGGGGTGGAGGCGCGGAGTTCATGGGGGGGGGGGGGGCGAAGGGGGTGCCCATGGTGACAGCTGACAGCTGTCTCTCTGTGTCTCTCTCTGTGTCTCTGTGCGTCTCTCTGTGTCTCTGTGTGTCTCTCTGTGTCTCTGTGTGTCTCTCTGTGTCTCTGTGTGTCTCTCTCTCTCTCCGTGTCTCTGTGTGTCTCTGTGTGTCTCTCTCTGTGTCTGTCTCTGTGTCTCTCTCTGTCTCTCTCTGTGTCTGTCTCTGTGTCTCTCTCTGTGTCTCTGTGTGTCTCTCTCTGTGTGTCTCTCTCTGTGTCTCTGTGTGTCTCTCTCTCTGTGTCTCTCTGTGTCTCTCTCTCTGTGTCTCTGTGTCTCTCTGTGTCTCTGTGTCTCTCTGTCTCTCTGTGTCTCCGTCTCTCTGTGTGTCTCACTGTCTCTCTGTCTCTGTGTCTCTCTGTGTGTCTCACTGTCTCTCTGTCTCTCTGGGTCTCTCTGTCTCTCTCTCTCTCTGTCTCTCTCTTTCTCTCTGTGTCTCTCTGTGTGTCTCACTGTCTCTGTGTGTCTCTCTCTCTGTCTCTCTGTGTCTCTCTCTGTGTCTCCGTGTCTCTCTCTGACTGTCTCTGTCTCTCTCTGTCCCTCTGTCTCTCTCTGTCTCTCTGTGTCTCTGTGTCTCTCTGTGGTCTCTGTCTCTCTGTGTCTCTGTCTCTCTGTCTCTCTATCTCTCTCTGACTGTCTCTGTATCGCTGTGTCTCTGTCTGTCTCTCTCTCTCTCTGACTGTCTCTGTCTCGCTGTGTCTCTGTCTCTCTCTGTGTCTCTCTGTCTCTCTCTCTCTCTCTGACTGTCTCTGTCTCGCTGTGTCTCTGTCTGTCTCTCTCTCTCTGTGTCTCTCTGTCTCTCTCTCTCTGACTGTCTCTGTCTCGCTGTGTCTCTGTCTGTCTGTCTCTCTCTAACTGTCTGTGTCTCTGTGACTGGGGGGGGGGGGTTATCTCGACTTCAAGCTTTCGTGACTGCAGGAATTCATACTCTCAAGTCACATAGATAGGTTCAAAGAAAATTAAAAAAAACTACGTTGTTTCGATCACAACACAAAAGCGATCGTCAGAGACAGAGAGAGAGACAGAGAGAGAGACAAAGAGAGAAACGTAGACTCCAAATATACAGCAGCAGCAGCAGGTGTCAGGGTCGGGATCGAACCCACGACCTCCTGTGCACCAGGCGAGGTAGTTAACGTCTCCTAGCCACCGTGACGCGTCTGGGGCCTTGAGTCGAGTCGTCGGTAAAAGCCTCGTGGGACCGGTGAAACCTGCGGTGCAGTGTCTCACCTGTGACCAACAGGGATTCGGATAACCCAGTGGCGTAGTAACTACATCATCAGTGACGTAGTAACTACGTCATCAGTGGTGTAGTGACTACATTATCAGTGACGTAGTAACTACATCATCAGTGACGTAGTAACTACATCATCAGTGGCGTAGTGACTACATCATCAGTGACGTAGTAACTACATCATCAGTGGCGTAGTGACTACATTATCAGTGGCGTAGTAACTACATCATCAGTGACGTAGTAACTACGTCATCAGTGGTATAGTGACTACATCATCAGTGACGTAGTAACTACATCATCAGTGGCGTAGTAACTACATTATCAGTGACGTAGTAACTACATTATCAGTGGCGTAGTGACTACATCATCAGTGGCGTAGTAACTACATCATCAGTGACGTAGTAACTACATCATCAGTGACGTAGTAACTACATTATCAGTGACGTAGTAACTACATTATCAGTGACGTAGTGACTACATCATCAGTGGTGTAGTAACTACATTATCAGTGGTGTAGTAACTACATCATCAGTGACGTATTAACTACGTCATCAGTGGCGTAGTAACTACATCATCAGTGACGTAGTAACTACATCATCAGTGGTGTAGTAACTACATTATCAGTGGTGTAGTAACTACATTATCAGTGGTGTAGTAACTACATCATCAGTGGCGTAGTAACTACATTATCAGTGACGTAGTAACTACATTATCAGTGGTGTAGTAACTACATTATCAGTGGTGTAGTAACTACATCATCAGTGGTGTAGTAACTACATCATCAGTGGTGTAGTAACTACATTATCAGTGGTGTAGTAACTACATCATCAGTGGCGTAGTGACTACATTATCAGTGGTGTAGTGACTACATTATCAGTGGTGTAGTAACTACATTATCAGTGGTGTAGTAACTACATTATCAGTGACGTAGTAACTACATCATCAGTGACGTAGTAACTACATCATCAGTGACGTAGTAACTACATCATCAGTGACGTAGTAACACGTTATTATCACTTGGGGAGTCGCGGCTATCGATCTGGTGGTGGCCCCAACACAACAAACACAACAGCAACAACAATAACAAGAAGAAATAGCAGTTCGATATAAATTATGTTGTGAATTTCGATGTAAAGCTTTCGTGACTGCAGGGATTCATCTTCTTGGTTCTTTCGGTAAAGTCACGTAGAAGGGAAGTAATAAAATAATAAAAATAAAACATAATAAAACAATTCTCACTAGAATTGTTTTATTATGTTTTATTTTTATTATTATGTTGTGAATGTAGATGAAGATGACGATGATGATTTAAAAGTGCCCAGCTCCAGTGGCTGCCTCCTATCGAAAGGAAGAACGTTCCAGACGGCCGCAGGACCGCATCTGCAAGCGCCGTGCGATGACGCGGTGACCACCCCCGTTGTTCGATGGCAGCAGCCACAAAGCCACCGCTACTGCCACCGCCGCTGCGAGGATGACCGGAGTCTGCGTGGTGATGGTTTATTCTCTTTGACGATGGTGATGATGATGATGCTGAGGGAGGAGGAGGAGGAGGGACTGGGAGGAGGAGGAGTGCCTGGTGGATGAAACCGGAGATGCCCAGAATCCCGGTCGAGGGAATTCCGCTCCGCGCCAGTTGCTATTTCGGAACCGATTGTGGACGAGCGTGGAATGGAGGGAATGTGTTTTGTTTGTGCGCGAGTTGAATAACTTTGTCTTGGAGCCCGCTTCCTCCTGCGTTTGATGTGACGGTTCGCGCCTCTTTGAGATCGTGGCAGCGTTGCCCGAAACGTCGC